TTCAGCCAATACAGCCAGAAAAGTAATTACAACCTTACTTTACGTGTTTGATGAAAAATTTGCTAATAAGTTGAAAATGGGTTACCAAACGAGCTCATAAAGTAAAACTAGATTGTTAGTGAACAATAAACGAACAAAACTCAAACACCTCAAAATTGCTCTGTTCATAGGCATTTGTTGAGTGAATAAACTTATAAACAATGAACAAAAGGAACACAAAAATATAAACATCTCAACTGCCTTCTAGTCTATATAACACATTATCATCAAGAGTTCCCAACCTGGATATTGCTCGGGGACACAAGACTTTCAACATATTCAAAAGAATTACCACTATAGCCATATGTGCTTTCATCAACGACCTTAAATTCATTCGAAGCAAGATTGATCAGAAAAGTATCAACTTCAATGTCCGAGTAATCCTTCTCCTCTTCTTCAAGTTGAAACTTCTTAAAGCAAAACACCCCAGTGCAGACAATTTGATTCCTACAAATGGTCCATGGGTGTATAAAGCAGTATGGACCACAGATCCACTTCTTACTCCAAACGGAGCTAATGCCTTCTTCAATCACCCACAAATCAATAGCAATATTGCTTGAGTTTAGAGCATAAGGGGAAGAAAGTAGGGCAGCCCTGTTCTCATACACAATCAGCTCAGCTTCTTCCTTCCAGGATAGAGGTGTTGGTATCAATTTAATCTTTTCCGATGCTAAATCAAAAGATACTATGACAAGAGATCCATCCAAACCTGTCTTTCTTGCTAAACAAAATATCGATCCATTAACGTTGAGGCTTGGGGAGCAAAGGCGTATACCATCTAAACAGCTGAATTCTAAGTCCTTCCATGAATTTGTAGCCAATGAATAAACTTTAATTCTACGAACCACATTCTTAACCATATCACCCCAAGTCGAAAAGGTCGTCACAATAATCTTGTAATCATTAACTAATGGACTGAATCCGAATCCCAAATAATGAACATTTATAGTATCATTAAGTGTTTTACTTCTAGGAACCTGCATAACCTCTCGAATCGCAGGATTCCAGATTGAAAGAGTAGTATCAGGCCAGCCGGTTTGAAGACAGACCAAGCCGTTGCAGGAGCCGACAATCCTGTGGGGTGTGATGGAATCGATCGGAGGTCCGACCTGAACCTCGCGGAGTCCCTTGTCCAGGTCGAGCGAGAATTTAATGAAGGCACCATCGTGCGTAGCAATCAGAGAAGAGCTTTGATGGCTGGAATAGTTGAGGTGGTCGGTGATGAAGGAAGGGGCGTTGATGATGTTCTTCCAAAGATCGCATACACTTCGGAATCGGATCAGAGATTTCACCGGAAGCCGCTTTAGAATGTTTGTGATCATTTCTTCTGGCAGGTATGGGATGCCAGTGTCCATCTTCTCCGGCTTCATAGTTGCTCTGCTTTGGTTTCGTTTTCTCTTCTGGGATGCGACCAAGTGCTATGCCGCATATACTAAAAAAAATGTGAAAACCCTAAGGGTAGCTCTTCCGTGCATCCATGTTGGTGGATGTTTTGGTGCATTCAACACATGGAAAAATTTTATTTGATATTTATTCCAGCTCATCTTTTTATTGAAAAAATCCGTTTATTGGCAGCCGGCCAATTTTATTTGCAAAGTGAACCCTATACTAGTATACTACTGTATGCCTTTTTTCCCTGTGAACTCGGCCCCCCTATGGAACTTACGCCCTTTTTCATTGTCGGACTTCATTAGAGCAAAAATGGCAGATTGTACGCTTCCAGAATTGATGGGCGTGCTCAGGATACAAGTGCTCGTCAAATTTCGGTCAATGTGTTCTCTGAAAAGGCAAGTTTCCTTCTCTGTTCAACCGCGCACTGCATGGGATGGTTTCGTATTCATCGTGCCTCTTCTCTCTCTTTGAATTCATCCAGATATCGTAGTGCACATCATCACAACACTGGTAATAAATTCATCCAGGTATTTTTTATTTTTCCCTTTCATTTCGTTCACAGCCTACCCTCACCGAATTGAATCCCCTTTTGTTATTCTTCAGTTTATTGGTACTTAAGGTTATTAGTGTCCTACATAAGGGATTCCTTCACCAGATATGTATTACAATTGGAAACATAGGACGTTCGATAGTGAGCCCAAATAAGAAATACTCCGTAAGAAATTGTCATAAATAGTTTTTGTAATTCTCGAAATAGGCTATGTTGTCAAACCTGGATGGAGAAATTAATCCAATAAATTACTCGATCAAGAGTCAACTCAGACCCCACAAGCACTAACGTATTCAGGAATTTCAGTCAATAGGATGAACTCACATCGATTATTTCAAGCATCTTATAAACAATGATCACATTAAAAAAGTGTAATATCAATTATAAAAAACAAAATATTTGTGAGACACAAATATTATCATATCATAAATAATAAATTATGACAGATGTAACAATATACTCCCTCTGCCTCGTAGAGAGGTTGTCACACGATTTACGATGTCCGACTAAGCATTATTAAAGTAACTTGGTCCATGTCCATAATTAGATTTTTAAGTAAAAAGAAATACATATCGAGAAACCACGTTAAAAGTTTTATGGATTTGCAAAAAACACTCACATTTGATAAATGTTTGATATATAAAGTAAGAGATTAAAAAATATATATTGGAAAAACAAAAAAATTATATTAGAGGTAGTAACTATTAAAAGTACAAAACACAGATTATGTGCAAAAAGCTAAATTGTAATTATATTCAAATAGTTTGGAGCTATTAAAATTACAAAACACAGTTTGTCAGTCTGGTCTAGTGCTCTGGCTCCGCCCTTCGAGAGCAGACGAGAGAAATATAAGGTGAAGAGCGGAGAAAAGGGAGAGCAAATGTGAGGAATATAAGATGAAGAGTGAAGGTGGGAACGATTGGATTGGGGGAAATTAGAGTTTATAGATTAATTATTTGATTACTTGGACTGCAACTGTATATTACAAACTGGTAGCTTGATCAGGTCAACTATTTTAATGGTCTAACAGAGAAATTGTACTTAATTGACTTAAAATGTGAAAGTGCATGTACTTTGTAGTTTCAAATGTAAGATGAAGTACTACTTATTACTCTATTTGAAACAACTTCGTGCACTATTTTAATCATTTTCTCCAAGTACACGCTTGAGAACAATTCCAATCGCGGAAGCTTTTAGTTATCGTACTCCTTATTAATGCGTAATAGTGTAATACTGTATACGTAATATACTTATATTTAATATATATACTAGATTCCAAGCTTGTACGACGGACGAGCTGTACATAATTTAGCTAAGGTCGAAAAAGTTATCCAAATAAGGTTCATTTGTATCCTATATAGTCTTTTGTTTCCATATCAATATGCAATAAAAAATAGAATCTAACAGAATAAATAAAAGGTTTTTTGAAAAAGTTACCAAATAAGGTTGATTTTTATCCTACAGTCTTTTGTTTCCATATCAATATACAATCAAAATAGAATCTAACAGAATAAATAAAAGGTAAGGAGTATTAACAAAATTAAAATAGTACGTAATTGTTATGTATGACGGATGACATGTCAAGATTATGTGGCGCTCTGTACGCTTTTAAAAAGTTCCTCTTATATATATATATATATATATATATATATATATATATATATATATATATATATATATATATATATATATATATACATATATATTCATGTGAGAACTTAATCTTAGGAGAGGGAAAAAGAATAAATGAGAGCCATTAGATCATCAATTTTTTTTCAATGGAACGTGTATTCACTTATAGGGTCGTTTGGTCATTTTATGAATATTTCTATATTTAACACTACATATCAATCATTGCAATTAATGCCACATCTTTATTATTAGGTAATTGACATACGTGTGTAATTGACTTACATGTGTTTGTATATTGATATTTTCTTTCTTTGGATAAACTAGACTTGATGAGGAACATGCTCAAAAAATTTCATCAAACAATTATTAGAAAACTATTAGAAACATTTACATACATAATTAGTTATAGACATGACAAAATAAATTTTAAAATGAAATATTCTAACTTTAGAATATAAAAAAAGTATTACATTATATTCATGAATGGTGAATTCAGATACAAATATCATTAAAAAGAAAAATGACAGTGATTAGTACCCCATAAAACGTGACTAAAATTGACTTGCATGGGAAATATGAAGTAAAAATTATACGACTGAGATTTGTGCAGATCATAGAAGGAAAAAATAATTTACCCACAAACTTATTACTTTAAATGGAAATCGCCAATTTTTTTAGTCAGTTGCATAAATAAAGTTATCAAAGTTTAATGAGTCGAGAGAGGAATTGTTATTAGTAATCAGTTGCAAAATAAAATAAAAATGCATTCATTTAATTCTATTACATCTATCCATAAAAAAAGACGATTTAAATAAATCTATCCATTAGTAAGTAAGTAACTAAACTTTAAAAAGAATTCAGTCCTTACTAGCTAGATGCATACAATTGAATATGGGGAATATGATTGTACTTTATAACCATACGAAATTTGAACTTAACTGAACTAGAAATTAATCATACGAAAATAAATAATCATTTTCACAACAATACATTGAAAAAAATATATAAAGGTCAATATATTGATAACCCACTAATAAGTAAACATAGCATGTCTACAATTCATACGATTGGTCTATATCGCTTTAAAATTTCTATACTATGACACCCCACTAATAATTTATGTGGCTGATATTGAATCGATATAAAATGTTTACATTCCTACAATTTACGTCTAAATCTGACCCGATCTATTCCAATACTGGATTAATTCCTACAATTTACGTCTAAATCTGACCCGATCTATTCCAATACATTAATCCCACTCAGAAGTGTACATATTGTAAATGTATTCACGAATTCCACAAATAGTCTAATGTCAGTTAAAATGTTTCAAACAAAAAAAAACTACAGAACACTTTTCTTCAATAATTATTCAATACAACTGCCATAACTATTCAATTAATCAACAAAAAATAGGTAATGCAATTAGTCCCCGAAAATAACTAACGCATAGGCAATTGAACCCATAGAAGCTAAAAAGGTTTCAGCATCTGCCCACTATATAAAGTACAACCAGATTGTTGATCAAGAATAAAACGAACACACCTCAAACACTTAAAAATACTCTATACATACGCATTTGTTTAGTGAATAAACTTTTGAATAACGAATAAACAGAACACAAAAATATAAACATCTCAACTGATTTCTAGTCCATATGAGGCATTAGAATCAAAGCTGGATATTGCTCAGGGACAAAAGGCTTTCAACATATTCAAAAGAATGACGACCACTATAGCCATATCTGCTTTCATCAAGGACCTTAATATCTTGAGAAGCAAGATTGATAAAAAAAGTATCAACTTTAATGCGGGAATCACCCACACCCTCTTCTTTGTGTTGAACCTTACTACAGTACATCACCCCAGTGCAGACAATTTGATTCCTACAAATTGTGCATGGGTGTATAGAATATGGATAAGGGCCAAAGGTAAACTTCTTACTCCAAAAGGCACCCATGCCTTCCTCAATCACCCACAAATCAATAGTAGAATTGCCCGAGTTTCGAGCAATACAGGAATAAAGTAAGGCAGGCCTGTTCTCATACACAATCAGTTTAGGTTCTTCATCCCTCGATAAAGGAGGTGTTGGTATCAATTTAAACTCTTCCAATGCTAAATCAAAAGAAAATATGACCCGAGATCGATCCAAACCCGTCTTCCTTGCTAACCAAAAGATCGATCCATTAACGTCGAGGCTTACAGAAAAACAGCATATACCATCTAAACAGCCGAATTCTATGTTCTTCCATGAATTTGTAGCTAATGAATAAACTTCAACTCCACTAACTGCATTATCCCAAGTCTCATAGGTTATCACAATCTTGTAATCCTTAACAAATGGACTGAATCCGAATCCCAAATTACAAAATACAGTACCATCATTAGCTGCTCTACTTCTAGGAACCCGCATAACCTCTCGAATCGCAGGATTCCAGATTGAAAGAGTAGGAGAGAGGGTAGAAAGCGGGCCGGTTTGAAGACAGAGCAGGCCGTTGTAGGAGCCGATAATCCGGTGGGGTCTGACGGAATCAATCGGAGGTCCGACCTGAACCTCGCGGAGTCCCTTGTCCCGGTCGAGCGAGTATTCAATCAAAGCACCATCGTGGGCAGCAATCATAGAAGAGCTTTGATGGCTGGAATAGTTGAGGTGGTCGGTGATGAAGGAAGGGGCGTTGATGATGTTCTTCCAAAGATTGCATACACTTCGGAATCGGATCAGAGATTTCACTGGAAGTCGCTTAAGAATGTTTGTGATGATTCCTTCTGGAAGGTATGGTATGCCACTGTCCGTCTTCTCCCGGTTCATGGTTGCTCTGCGACGCTGCGTTGGTTTTCGTTTTCTCTTCTGGAAGGTCTGGGATGCGACAAATAAAGTGGTGTGCCGCATATATTTGAAAAAATTACTCGATCTGCAATAAATAAACACCCTAAATTCATACGGGTATATACTACTCCCTCCGTAATATTTATATCTTCCCACTTTCCTTTTTTGGATGTAACATTCCTACCTTCTCATTTCATAATCTTCCAATCATACTCTCAATAATTTTAAAAATAATACACTATTACACCTACTTTTTTTGGATTTATTCTTCATTCCAACACATTATTTCACTATCTTCCTATCATACCCTCAATAATTTATATCCCATTTCACTATTCTTAATCTACCTACTTTTCAAATGAGAACATATATATGTTACGGAGGGAGTACTACGTACTCCGTATGTATTAGAGAACTAGAGACGCCCCGCGCGTTGCGCGGTTGTCACGCCCAATGATAGGTACAACATTTGGGAACGAAATGAATGGAAAATTAAGTTGTGGAAATGGTAATTGAAGTAAGAAAGAAACGTATAAAACAAGTATTGTTGAAGTTGTGTCACTGTACAAAAGTAAATATCAGGTGCATGAGTGGGGTTTTGTGCGCGTGTGTGTTATGATGGCTGGTGTTCAAGTTTTGGGACAACAAGATAGTCACATTGTATAAGAATGGTGTGTGGGTGGATGCATCATAAAAGCAGAGTGAAGAAGTAATAATTGAATTCTAATGGTTAACCTTGTGAAATAATGGGAAAGGGGTACTCCAATAGGAGTCCTGACACATATATTTATAATAGAAGAGTTGCCAAAATACAAAATATTCCTAAATAGATATTAGGCAGATTCCTAAATATCTATTAGGTAGATTCCTAATTATATTAGCCTATTACACCCCCTCAAACTGTGCGTGAGATACAACGCGCATGTTGTCTTTTAAAAAAATGAAATTGCAAACTAAAAAAAACTCTTAGTAAATATATCTGTGAGTGGAAGATTAGAAGGCACGTCTTTGACAATAAGATCTCCATGAGAATATATGTCTGCAGCAGCAAGCGGCGAACTCAACAGCGCGCTTGAAGCAAGCACCGTGGTCAGCGACGCAGAGAAGGTGGGCTGCGCGAACATAGGCAGCAGCAGGCGGCGAACTCAACGGCATGCTGGAAGCAAGCACCGTGTTCAGCGACGCGAAGAAGGTGATCTACGCCATATTAGCCGCGCTCATCTTCAAAGGATCAGAGATTACCGTAAATGTGGCGGCAGTCGACCCCAAGGCGGCGGCGGCTATAATAAGGTTCATGGGAACCGAAAAAAGAAAAAAATTGTATCTACAAACCTAGAGCTCTTGATACCATGTGAAATAATGGGAAAGGGGTACTCCAATAGGAGTCCTGACACATATATTTATAATAGAAGAGTTGCCAAAATACAAAATATTCCTAAATAGATATTAGGCAGATTCCTAAATATCTATTAGGTAGATTCCTAATTATATTAGCCTATTAAACCTTGCAAAACAAAACCAATTACTGCAGTAACAGAGTGAGGGTTAATGAACAATGGGGGCAAGCAGAGAAGAAAAATGAGGCAGAACATCAAAGAACAATAGTAATAGAAGTGGTTTACATTGGTACAAAGCAAAAAGAGTAGTTCCAATTGTTCATCAAAAAAATCCATGACATATGTCGTTGGCTGTAGAGTTCAATCCCGCTTAAGGGTGCTTAGTAGTCTCCATCAGGAGTCCCGTTGATGCGTCGTCTCCCCGAGTAATATTACTACAATAGTAATATAACCAGTTATTGTAGTGGAGTAACTCCACTACAAAAATTGACCCCCGTATGGTGGGAAATATTATTACAATAGTAATATAACCAGTGGAATAAACATATAATCCAAAAAAGAATATCTAAAGCGCAGATAAGACTGGCGGGAAAACCCAGGGGGAGGAAGGCAAAAGTGAATAGTATAATGCATGCAGTCTGTCTCTGATCAAACACATGTGCCGGGGATAAATAAATTCAGTGGTGAAAGCGAAATAATTCACACAAAGCAAGTAACGATATACTAAAACATAAAAAAACATATAAATTAAAAAAACCTTATTGGGAAAGTCAAGAACTTACAAGAGCCACTAAAGAAGCAGATACAACAGTGACAAGTAGTGCACAACAACCTGTAACGACCAAACGAATACAACATAGGCATGGGGAAATAACTGGTGAGGAAAAGCTACAAAATGAGTGGTTAACTATGGAACGCTATACAAGAATATTACTAAACAACAAATGGCAACTCTAAAACAGGACGTTTCAAAACGGTGAAAGGAAGATAAATAATTCAGTATGCCCATAACTGATAAGAAATGCAAGTTGAGTTCAAAATGACGCAAAATAAAAAAAAACGAGACCAAAACACATCCATTCACTGTTCCACAACAAATAGCTGTGCATGGCAATGCAGAATAAAAAAAACGGAATAAATTAAAAAAAAAAAACCAGCCTCCGCATCCAAAATCAAACCAAAATAAACACATATCACCCACAGACCAAAATATGTGTGCTTACAAAACAAATAAACATTGCCGCAAAAAAGAGGGTATAACCACAATTAAATTGACCCCTATTTGTCCATTGTACAGATTTAAAAACATGACGATACCAGTCTCGACATTCAAACCCGAATAATAGTACATAAAAGTAAGAAGACAATAAAAGAACGCCCCAAAAGACAACACTAATAAAAGTCACATTTAGATTGGGATTCCAATGGGGGGGATGTAGATTTTAATTGCAGATGTAGATTTTAATGGGGGGAAGGCAACTATAGGCACACTATGTTTGGGATTCCTACATAATGTGTTAGAAGTCAAGGACAATAAAAATAAATCAAATTTCCAATAAAAATGCACAGAATCGAAAAAGGGGGAAAAATTGTTTGTTCCAGGGACCCTAGAGGAAAAAGAACCAACACAAATGGCAATCACAAACCCTTGTTTATGATGGGGAAAATCAAACACAAGAGGATTGAGCAGAAGTTTGACAATGTGTTTGCAATCAATAGACAAGCATTGACGAGTAAAAACATATTTTACATACATAAAGGTAGATTTAAGATTCAGATGAGAGCCCCTATAGTTATGCCTACTTTAAGATTCAGCATTAGGAGCACCTCCCTTTAAGATTTAGAAGATGAGGCCTTTTACCAACACAATAAAAAAAAGGGAATAACTACAGTAAAGTTGTTCCCTATTTATCCATTGCACAGTCTTTAAAAGATGACGCTACCAGCCTCCGTATTAAAACCCAAACAAAAGTACACATAAGCAAGAGGCCAATAAAAAACACCCAAAAAGACAATAACAATCAAAGCCATAGGTGCACATAAAAAAAAACCTTGCAAAAACGAAATACAAAAATAAAATTGTGTCTGATAGCAAAGAGAAAGACAAGTGTAGGCCACATAAGGACCCTCGCAAAACCGATGCAAATCCAACACAACAATGAATGCAAAATCAAAGACAGCAACATTCAAACAGAAAGAACCAGAAGGGGAAAACGGAAGAAAACTTACAATTCAAGAGTATAGGTAGCAGGCGCAGAAGTAAATAGGAGAACAACAACGGGCGAGAGAACTAAATTAGCGGACGGACTGCAAAACCAAGAGGATCAATGTTGCAGATAAGCAGTCGGGAAAACAACTGCGTGTAAAAAGACAGCTGCGTGCAGCGTAAATGACAACTGTGTCAGCGGGTATTCCAGCGCGAATAATCAAACGGGCGCTATTTTGACGGGGCTGATACTCCGTCAGCGATATCTGTGAATCCTGTAGTGACGGAAGAGGACGAAACTAACTCCCTTGCGGCTTTTATATAGTAGGGAGATAAGAATAAGGAAGTTGCCAAAAATAGGTTTTCTAATTCACGGTAGGACTGAGGATGGTTTTACTTAGACGGTAATTTGTCTTATATCAAACTAGATCAGACCAGACCTGACTTAACTACTTATAAAAATAGAAAGAAACCAGACCTGACCTGACCAGACTAGCAAATTACTATCCAAGTAGAAGCATCTTGATATATTTTTGAAATGGGCTATGTTGTAAGGATGTTTTGTTTTAGACTAAAGTTTGTTGGTCTTATCTGGCCTGTTTTAATCTGGTCTCATAAATGTCATGTCTCTGTGTATTTTATAATTATGAAAATTTGATCTAATCTATCTAATCTGGTCTGGTCTAAACTGAGACTGAAAACAATCCAAAAAAAATCCTAAAAGCTGGATCAAGAAGTGACCCTGACAAATTAGGGAGTCACAGGTCAATCCATATAATGATGAGTAAAATCGTACAACACCAAATATATATTCAATTAATAATATACATAGCATAAGATTAAATTTACATATAGAAAATATTATTCCTTACTTAAATTTGTAATTATAATACATTATAAGCCAAGTAAATAATTTCAATTTTAAAATTTATTAAAATTTATAATATATATGCTCTTAGATGAATAATAAATACGAACACAATTTTAAAAATATAATATCAATTTGTATTTTATTATATTTGGATTACGATACAAGTAATTGAGAATCATAGAAACATTAATGTGAATTTATGGTTATTGTTTTTTTAATCACATTTATGGTTATTATTATAAAGAATAAATTATTTACTAGTAAATTAATGCCTAACAAAAATGATGTACAGACATGGTATAATAGGATGTAAACAATAATTGTTAGTATATTAGTTGTGTAGTGGAGTGGTTGGCACGCTGATACTCCTCTCCATACAGCAATGCAGTTAGGGATGGTAGGAGAAACCGAAAAAGAATCGCAAAAATTCAACCGCACCCAAAACAATCCAACCGTAAGAAAATCAAAACTGAACTCAAAAAATCGAACATTAGTTGTTTGGTTTCGGTTTTGGTTTTCACATTTCAAAACCGAACCGAATAAACCAAACTTTTTAAAAATTGTTATTTTATTTATTAATGATTAAATATAATATTTTGTTTAGTTCTTAATTCTTAATTATAGAACATTAATGTTTG